TTATAATTTTAACAAAAATAACATTTGCTTTTAATAATTAGGAGCTTTCACAAAGGAACAAAATACGAATGTTCAGAATGTAAAAAATTATTTACAAATAAAGAAAATTTGAAATTGCATCAGAAAACAACTCATCATACTGAAGATGGTACTAATCAGAATTTCGAACATATTGTCCAAGATTCAAACCTCGAACCAAAATGTCATTTATCCGGAGAAGATATTTCTAATGTACTTGATCACACCTTGACTGAAGATCAAAGTACAAATAAATTTTCAAACAATTGTGATGATTCTCAGAAAAATTATTCATGCAAACAATGTGATAAGTTATTTGAAACAAAGGAAACTTACGATTTGCATTTGAAAATGGTTCATGAGTTTGACAAATTATTTATTTGCTCTATTTGTAATAAAAATTTTTCCCAACAAACAGCTTTAAAAAATCATATGTCAATACACGAGGTAAGAAAATAAAAATTCTTAAGTAGTTTATAAATTATAAAGGCACTTAAAGTGGAAAACTGACAAACACTTTTTATTATTTTTTAGAAAAATAAGTTAGAAAAAGAATATCCTTGTGATATTTGTGGAAAAGTACTCAATCATCCTAGTTCTGTAGTATATCATAAAGAAGCAGAACATAATAATGGTCGCCGATTTGTTTGCAATAAATGTGGAAAAAGTTTTAAACATAAGCAACTATTACAACGTCATCAACTTGTGCACTCTGATGATCGACCTTATATTTGTAAATCCTGCAATGCCAGTTTCAAAACAAAAGCAAATTTAATTAATCATCAATCTACACATACTGGAGAAAAAAAATATTTTTGTGAAATTTGTGGACAGCAATTTGCACATAAAACTAGCCTTACACTGCATTACAGGTTATTATAGAAATAAAAAATCAGTTAAATAAATGTTATTGATAAATAAATAAATCAATAATTTCATAATTAGGTGGCACACAGGTCATAAACCATATACGTGTGAGGTATGTCATAAAAGTTTTTCACAAAATGGAAATCTACAAGAACATATGCGAATACATACCGGAGAAAAACCTTATTGCTGTGATTATTGTGGCAGAAAGTTTACTACTTCTTCACAGTTTAAACTTCATGTCAAACGGCATACTGGCGAGCGTCCTTGGAAATGTGAATTTTGTGCAAAATGTTTTTTGCATAAAGATACTTGGAAATGTCATGTGCGTAGGCATAAAGGGGAACGTCCTTTTCAATGTGCTCATTGCAATCGCGGATTTACAGAACAGTGGGCTTTAAAAAAACATCTTCGTCTGCATACTGGTACCAGTTTTATTTAATTTTTATAAATTCATTATTTCTTTGAACAATGTACTATTTTAATATACACGTTTAAGTTACATTATGTTCCCTAAATACATTTTATACCTTATTTACTAGGTGAAAAACCTTATTCGTGCGATGTTTGTGGAAAAGCATTTGCAGATTGCTCAAATTTAACAAAGCATAAAAAAGTAAGAATCTAAGTTTTAGTAATAAAAAACCATTGTACTAAAAAAATTCAATAGTATAGAATTATTATCGAGTTATTTATAGGTACACAGGGAAGCTAAAGTTTCTGCAATAAGTGAAATAGAAGGATCTCCAATTGGAGAAGTTTGGCAAATTTTACCAAGTTCTCAAGAAACTGATGAACATTCATTAACAGATCAAATGACTCAAGTTATTGCAACAGATGACACATCTGGAGATGCTATTCAGCAAATCATTTATGTTTCCTACCAAGATCCAGATGATCCTAATCAATCTCGAACTTTGCACTTCGGTAAAGATAACATTTTTACAATATTTGTATTAATAAAAATTAAATTTGTATCTACAATATGTATCTTATTTCTAATTTAGTTGATGCTGGAATGATAAGAAATAAAGAAGAGAAAACAAATGTAAATCAATCATTATCACATTTAAATGTTGAAAATGACGGAATGCTTTCTAATCAAGCCCATGCTAGTGCAAGTAATAATTCCAATGAACGAATAAATGTTGAACTTTCAGAATCAGATCTTCAACTTCAGGTAAAAATGAATCAAATATTTAAAATATTAACATGTGTGATACATCAATTCTCAAGACAGTCTGATGTTATTTATGTATCACACATGGAATAAAATGCATTTTGCATATTTAATGCAAATTATGTATGTATAAGTGCAAGCATACACTGTATTGAGTAAAATTGTTAACTATAACTACTAATCATATAAGCAAACATAATGTATATTAAGTAATAATAAAAACTAAATCATATTTACAGATTACGGATGAAGAGGGTAATCCAATTCCTCTTTCAATTCAAGACGCCCGACAACTTTTATCTCAAAGTCAATTTGTTAATCAACTTAGTGATGGTCAAGAAATTAGAGTTCACCCTGGAGTAATTCCAGATGAATTAACAGCACCATTAAGTGTACATGTTAATCAAAATTCTGATATAAAAGGTATTGACATTTCCAATACAGTGGAAACAAAAGTGAAAAATATTTCAACTGTACAAACAGATGCAGAAGCAATCGTGAAGGCATTGGAGGTAACATTTTTAAATAAATTTCTTTCTCTAACTAATGCCTTAATTAATTAATATCTTAAGAATAACATTCAATTTCTTAATATTTTAACGAAGTAAATAATTTAGAGAACATCTAATAAAATAAATAAAAAATATCAAATTAACACAATTTTATGATTAAGTTATGAGTTCATTCAATTTAAGTAAAAAAGTCGCCATTTTGTGATTTTTTTCTTTTTTCCGAAAAGTATCAGATATATTAATATACAATTTCTGCTCATATACTTTTTCATCCTTAGTGAATATTTGTAATTTTGTATGAAGCATATGAAGTGAAACTTTTATTCATGTGAAACAAAGAATTCATAATTATGTTTAATCTATAGAGTTGCTTTTATCACTTGTGCCATGATCATTTATAAAAAATTGGATATTATAAATTACAAACTATTAATTGATTAAAAAAATTTTCAATTTTAATTTGTTAATACAAAGAGGATGGAATATGTGTGTAAAATTTCAAGCCAATGAGTTATATACTTTTTTTTAGATATTTATTGAAGCCATTTTTGAAAATGTAGTTTTGAGATAAACATCGATAAAATGTTTTTATACACTTTCTACAGTAATAGGTGTACATATACTGTTTGCACTATTGTGGTCATATAAAATTCCCTTTTCTTGTTTTTTGACTCCATATCAAAACGCACAAAATAGTGATCATAGTCACTTTTTTTTTTCAAATTCACAGCATTTGTTGATAGTTTTGAGAAGCTAAACGGTGTGAAATTTTAATTTTCTATCTCGAATGGTTTTCAAGTTATTCAATGTTAATTGAACGAAATGAACCAACACCTTATTTCAATATCAATGTTTTGACTCCATTTAAAGACAATGTTTTATTCTTGTATTTACTTTAAAGCTGAAGAAATGATCATTCTAAATACATACATAAAATTTTATTTATTATTAACAAATGTAATAGTAATTGGTGTTAGTTTCAAATTCCGATTTGACATTGTTTTTCGGCAAAAAAATTAAATAGAAAATTTCTAAATTTTCGCCGAATTGTTAATCATACCTATCCTTTTAAACGTATTATATTTTATTATTCGTTATTGCTGTTAATATTTTATTGTGCTTAATTATTAAATTAAACTTTATCATAGATATCTACAGTATGTATACTTTATAGAAGTGCTTTAGTGCGGTCGTAAAATCGGTCAGTCGTCAAAGTAAATCTGATCACCGAAAACGTCAGTTTGAACGAGATCAGGAGCTAGAGCCTCTTTCAGGACTGTTCTATATCAACTCAAAATTAGTTCTTCTGTTGCAGTATATTTAAAAAATTTCTTTGCGCGTTAATCTTTGACAACTACGGGTTAACTACGGGTTAACTTAACTCCCGCAAAAATTCGCATTACTTGATGATAAAACTTGTTAACCAATGCAAAATTTTCCTCTACAATTTTTTTCTATCTGCAAAAGGAACATAGTTATAGTCCGGTCCAGTTACTAGATACACCCTATATACTTATACATATTGAAGCTTTGTGTATACATAATACACGTTATATATACTTAGAATTATCTAACAGGATGAAGATACAGATGCAAATGCTGTCGCTACGATTAATCAAATGGAAGAATCGGAGCAATCGGGAATTGCAGAAAACGAACAAGCAATAGAATTTACAACACAAGATGGCCAGAAAGTTCGTTTAGTTACTTCTTATCATGTTGATCCAATGCAACTTGCATCCGAGTACCTGACTATTGTATAAAATTCGAAAATCAAATTTGTATAAATAATTTCTCTAACCTTGTACGTTTAGTTTATTCAAGCGTAATTGTACTTTATATTTAATTTTTTTTTTATTTTTAAT